TCACAGCAAACTCAGCCATCCTGCATTTTAAACTTCTAGGAAAGTATTCTCTGTGTGCCCAGAAACTTTAAGTCTGAAAAGAAACTGTTTTGTTTCCAAAATTGCACATCACTTTTTATTGATTTGTTCTTTATAATTGTTCTTATTTTTTGTTTCTCACACAAAATAAAGTAAATTACTGTGAGTTTTGTGGCTTCTGTTTGTTTCCTGGACACTTTCATGTTCCTGCTTACTCCATGCATCTGCCCCACCAAAGCATATCTTTCCTTCGATAATTATTTTTAATTACAAAAGTAGTAAATACCCATTGTTTAAAACAAAGTGCACATTTTTCTTTCTCACGGCTGTGAGAATGGTGGAAAGCAGATAGTTCCCCTGTTCCATTATCGACCACAATCTTTCATCTGTTGTTAATTATGGCCAGTATCTATTAAGCACTTATCATATCTGTCACTGTTCTAGATGTTTTACATGTAATATACATATATGAGATTAATTAGAAATAAATTCATTATATTATAATGATTACATTGCCAATATAGTCTTTTGCTTGCTATGTACTAAGCAGAATGACATGCTATGCCTTTAATTAAAATACATACCTTTTTTATTTTAGAATCATGTTTCAATAAGCAAGTACACTCATCTGGTTCAAAAATCAGTAAATGTAAAAAGCTATTCTGTGATGTCTTCCTCCTACCCCTTTCCTCAGCCACCCAGTTCCTATCACCTTCCCCAAAACAAGTAACCACTGTTGTTAGCTTCCTTATCCTTCCAGAGATTTTTTTTTTTTAATCCTCACCGGAGGACATTTTTCCATTTTTTGTTCAGGTAGAGTGGGAGGGAGAGAGAGGAACAGAGAGAGAGAGAGAGAAACATCGATGTGAAAGGAACACATCGAGTGGCTGCCACCCGCACAACCGACTAGGGCCGGGGACAAACTACAACCGAGGTACATGCCCTTAGCGGGAACCAAACCCGGGTCTCTCAGGACCGCAGGCGGACGCTCTAACCGCTGAGCCAAACCGGCCAGGGCCAGAGATTTTTATCTATATACAAGCAGGTATGAATATGTTCTTCCCTGTCCCTGTTATACATAATGGAAGCATACTATTTAATGATTTTGCACCTTGTTAGTTATTTCATTTAACGTATTTTAGAGAGTTTTTTTTTTTTATCCTCACCCGAGGACATTTTTTCATTTTTTGTTCAGATAGAGTGGGAGGGAGAGAGAGGAAGAGAAAGAGAGAAAGAAAAAAACATTGACATGAAAGGGACACATCGAGTGGCTGCCTCCTGTATGATCCAACCAGTTCCAGGGACAAACTGCAACCGAGGTACGTGCCCTTGGTGGGAACTGAACGAACCTGGGTCTCTCTGGACCACAGGCCGATGCTCTAACCGCTGAGCCAAACCAGCCAGGGCTAGAGATATTTTTTCATATCAGTGTATTAGAGAGCTTCACTCTTTTTTTATTTCTGTGCATAGTGTACCATATATGATTTGCCATAATTTATGTAAGTTGTTTTCTTGATGGATTTTTGGGTTATTTCTAGTCTTTGGCTATTTTAAACAGTGCTACAATGAATAACTTGAACATACATTGTACAGGTGGGGGGTAAACTAGAAATAGAACTTCTGTGTCAAAGAGCACAGGCCTTAATATTTTTTAGCTTTAAGAGTTTCTTTCTTAAACATAGTATCCCCAGACTAAGCCTGCCTTACTTTGATAACACTTTCTCAAGTTATAAACATTCTTTCTGTAAATATATGCAAGTTGGTGATAAATTTTGGCAAAAAAAAATCTTTTGTAACTTTAAAATTAAATTATAAAATTAACTTTACATACAAACATATACATTATTCTGAACTCAGGAATATGAAAAAAGTGGATAATCCGTGCCTCTTGAAGCTTATGGAATTGGGGAAACAAAAGGTATATATGTGAAATAATTGTGAATACCAGGCAAGAATTTGAAATTGATCAATAAACAGTGGAGAGCTTTTATGTCCTTAAGTGAGAGTGATATAAAGAAAATGCTGTAAATTACTGTTTTGCAACATTGTTCACTATACAATAGAGAGGCAGGAGGTGAGTAAATTACAATCTAGTATTTTCCTTATTAACATGCTTATATTAGCATATTAGTGAAAGGCCAATAGAAATTCTTGTTATATTTTTAATCATGTGGTTGATATAACTATAATCATATTAGAGATACAAGTGTAAACAGTTTGGAATTGAATGAGAAAGCTAGCCTGTAATAGATTGTTACAGGTGTTGGGGAGAAAAGTTAATCAGAGGACTCCATTAGAGAAGATTAGGATTGACAAGGACTCTAGAGTTCCAACTTTATTGTTACATATTTGTAATCAAGGCCTAGAGTTGTGAAGGGTTTTTAACAAAGTAATTTAGTGAAAGTCGGGACTAGAATTTAGGTCTTCTGACTCCCACTTCAGAATGTTTTCTCCCATTTGTGCTTGGAAAAATACAGTAAGTTTTCCCTGGCATGATTTTACAAGTCTGTGCCCTGTCTGTAAAGGAAAAAGGGCGTACCAAATCTGGTGCTTGAAACAATATTTAAGTATTTAGGTGTGTGTTTGGGAAGTTAAGGATGAAAGCCATGAAGTGACTTTTTTCATTTCAATGTGATTTTTCCTTTATTTTATTTTATTTTTTAATCATCAATTGGTTGCCTCCCACACAACCCTAAGCAGGGCCAGGTATTGAACCTGCAGCCTGTTATAGCTCACTATCCTTGGAATTCAATAAAGAAAAACAACTTGTCTTTGAGCTGCCCTAATTAATAGCCTCAGGGACAGCAAGAAAAGGGGGGAATGTTATAGCCGGCTTTAGCCCCATAACAATTAACTAGAGTTTGACCTTCACTGGGAATTTGAAAAGCAACATACTTCAGAAAAAGGGAGGACAGAAACGGCCCCAAGGCCAGAGTGTCCTGCATACTCTGTAAATAAACTGATAGGGAAAAACTGAAGCTTCCCTTACCCCATAAAACTGTAATTGTTAAAAATATATGTATTGCACCTGGCTAACTGCTGACATCCGTCTCAAATTTGTTAGTTTTTAAATCTTAGATAATAGAATAAATGGCAGGATAGATGTATGCTGACCCAGTTCACCCAGTTCCCTTTCGCCTCAGCTCCTGCCCATCTCTGTTCCCTCCTGCTTATTGCTAACTGCCTCCATTTCTGTACACGTAGCTTGCTTGCTCTGCTAAACTCTTGAATGACCCCTGTCCTATATAAGCAACCCTACAACCTGAGCTCCTGGCTGCAGTCCCTGCGCAGATAATAAAGCTCACGTCTAATTCACCCAACTTTGTGTCTGAGTGAGGTTGATTCTCCTGGGTTACAACACAGCCCAGGTGCCCTTGACCAGGAACCAAACCCAGGACTCTCAGGCAGATGCTCTAACCACTGAGCAAAACTGGCCAGGGCCCTTTAATTCTTAATTTTTTAAATCCTCACCTGAGGACATTTTTCCATTTTTGTTCAGATAAAATGGGAGGGAGAGAGAGGAAGAGAGAGAGAAACATCGACATGAAAGGGACACGTCGAGCCCTGGCCAGTTTGGCTCAGCGGTTAGAGCGTTAGCCTGCGGTCCAGAGAGACCGGGGTTTGGTTCCCGCTAAGGGCATGTACCTCGGTTGCAGTTTGTCCCCGGTCCTGGTTGGGTCATGCCGGTGGTGGTAACCACTCGATGTGTCCCTTTCATATCGATGTTTCTTTCTTTCTCTCTCTCCCTCCCACTCTATCTGAACCAAAAGTGGAAAAATGTCCTCAGGTGAGGATTAAAAAAAACAAAGGGACACATCAAGTGGCTGCCACCCGCACAATCCAACCAGGGCCAGGGACAAACTGCAACCGAGGTCTGGGCCTTTAGTGGGAACTGAACCCGGGGCTCTCTAGACCACAGTCTGGCGCTCTAACAGCTGAGCTAAACTGGCCAGTGCAGGCCAGGGCCCTTTTAAAACTAAAGAGCATTCTACCCTTACCACTTTTAAGACACTTAAGACCTTGTGCCATTCTTACTGTGCATATGTCTAGTCCTACCTCCAGCCTAATTCCCAGTCAGCTACTTTACAGTTGGTACTGGTTTATCTGTCCTCCACTGTGGGGGCCTTAGACAATAGTAGATGCACTCCAAGTGCTAAAATAGATTTGTGTCTGAGGCAGTTTATGTATTCTGACAGATCTGAATAGGAGAACAATCCAGAAGAGGAAGGGGATGTCTAGAGTTGTCTCTATGTGAGCTTCTCCAAATTCACTCCATTGGAGTTTAGGTTCTGTACAGAGAAAAGGTGATGGATCAGGGAAGGCGGGTCTATTACTACTACATTCAAATCACCCTCTTGCTCAGTTCAAGATCCCAGATTTGTTTTCTCTACCTGAATTAACTAACATTGAGTTCTAACTGAGTTCCTGGCTCTATCCTTTAGTCTAACAGTTCTAATGCAGAATAGGAAACACGAGATATCCATTAGATTCTGCACAGAGATGTGCTTCATGTAAGGGTCTGGGAGAGCCAATGAGTGCAGGCTAAGTTTTAGGCCCTAGCCTAGGGGCTGAGCGTACACTAGTGATGACACAGGATTTAAATCCCTGGCATCATGGTGCTGAAATTCAGGGGTAGGGGGATAGAGGAAGGGGAAGGGAAGACAATATAAGCAATATAAATGAGTAAAATATACAATATGTCAGAAAGTTCTAAGTGTTGAAAAAAATCATGGAAGAGCTGCTTCTCTGGATAATGCGGGAAGTTGAAAGGACAGGCCAGTAAGAAACCTAACCGTAAGGTCTCACCAGTTACACAGTCCTGGCAAAAAGGGGGGAAAAAAACCAAGGCTTTCAGTCCCTTTAAAGAGGACGACTCTGCCCTGGCCGTGTTACCATTGGCCGCAGAGGCGGAAGGGGCGGGGCGCGAGGCGCCGCGGAGTCCCGCCTCTCGCGGTGCTCCGCCTCTCACGGTGCTGCGAAGGTAGCAGCAAGATGGCCGCCGCGGAGGACGACTGCGGGGTCGGAGCCGACGCGGACCGGGAATTGGAAGAGCTTCTGGAAAGTAAGAGCCCGTAATGGAAAGACCCGAGGAGGGCGGGTGTGAGGACCCATTCAGGGCGTGGAGTGAACCTTAGATATTTGGGGCGGAGCCGGGGAGGCAGTCCAAAGGTTGGACGGGGGCAGAGGGTCTCAGCTCCCCTTGGGCCCGGGAGGGCCCAGACTGTCCATCTCCCTGCCGGAGGGGAAACCGTAACCCAGAGGCCAGCGTTCAAGGTCCGGCTCCAAACCGGCCTTACTTTAAGTCTAACTTCTCTCCAGAAGAGCATTCGGTCCTCGGTGGGCTGCGAAGCGGACACGCACGGATCGCTCGCGTTAACGCTTACCAGCGCGCCCTTCCACCCAGCAGCCTGCCCTCTTGAACGCAAAAGACACGTCTTTCCTTCTCCCAGCCTGTGCACCCGTCTCCCACAGGCCCCTTTCCAGTTCCTTCCTCATGTCAGAGCTGAAGCCCACTCCCTTTCTATTATTTTGAAAAACAGGTTGAGAAGGTCTCAGGAGAAGAGAGCTCACCCTCCTCAACGAGGGTGGGTGTTCTGTTCCTCCTTAGCCATGTCCACCGCTCCTCTTGGTGTCTTGCCCAGACTGGGGCCAGTGCTCTCTCCCTAGGCCTGGCAAGCAGAGTGGTGATTAGAACATAGGCTTTCCAAGGCAGAGGTGAATATTTTTTGTTTTGCCCAGTCACGGAGATGTGGGTAGGCGGAAGGATGAATAGAACCAGTGAAGAGTGCCAAGGGACTCAGTGTAAATTGGCACACAGTTATATGCAGAGACTGGGTCTGAGGGAGCTCTAGGAGCTTTGCCCTGGGAGGGCTAAATTGGAGGATAAGAAGAGAGAGTTTGATACTGCTAGTCAACATGATGGCATAGGTAAACGTGGTCCTTGCAGTGTTCGCCTGGTCCCACAACCACATCAAAATTACAACCAAACTACAGAATAACCATCATTCAGAACCACCTGAAATCAAGCTGAATGGAAGTCCTACAACTACAAAATTAAATAAGCCACATTGAGACTGGTAGGAGGGGCAGAAGCGGGCAGAGGCGTGCACAGATTGGTCCCACACCCACCTGGCAGATATAAATCAGGAAGGGGCACCTCAGCTGCAAAGATACTCATTGAGGAGCAAGGGGGCCCCATCCCACACCAGGCCCCCAGGTCAGGGTTCCAGTGCCAGGAAAAGAAGTCTCCATAACTTCTGCCTATAAAAACCAGTGGGAACTGAGGCTAAGGGAGGCTGAGGCAGCTGGAGCCCCAGGCAGTTCCTCTTAAAGGGCATGAACATCTGCCTCAGTGAGCCCCATACCTCTCACTAAGTGCCCCCAGGCCTGGCACTAGAAGCAGCCAGCCTTGATTCACAACTTGGCTTTGCCTGGGCACCTCCAAGCCCAGCACAAGAAGCAGTCATCTGTAGATCACTTTGTAGCTTATGTCTGGTGGCTTCTGGTAGAACACAGGCAGTGTCTCACTTTGCCCCAGAGCCAGGACACCCAGTGGACAGCTTCAGAACACATCGAAGCACCACCACCCAACCACCTCCAAAAGCCATGCACTCAAGGAGTGGATTTAGTAGGTACTAGAGCCCTGCTGAAGTACGTCTTGCTCTGTGTTGCGGGCCCCTGCACAGTTGGTCATCCAAAGTAGTGAGAGGTCAGTGGTCAGTGGGCACAGCCAGTCCTTGAGGCTGATGAGCCTGACACGCGAACAGCAATAAAGTCTCAGTTACAGCCCTGGCCCGTTTGGCTCAGTAGTAGAATGTTGGCCAGCGGACCAATGAGTCGCAGGTTTGATTCAGGCCAAGGGCATGTACCTCGGTTGCAGTTCATCCTGGGCCCTGGTCGGGTCGTGCGGGAGGCAACCAGTCGATGTGTCCCTCTCACATGGATGTTTCTTTCCCTTTCTCTCCATCTCTCTCCCTCCCACTCTATCTGAAGGTTAATAGAAAAATATCCTCAGGTGAGGATTAAAACAAAACAAAAAAAAGACTATAATTACAACAGAAGGGTGTACAGTCCACACAAGGGGTGCACCTCAAGGGCACAGCTGGGGAGATCAGGGAGGCTGTGCCTGAGATCACTGGATCCTACAGGAAACCTACCACAGTAAGCCACCCGACCAAGCCTAGGAGATGTAACAGCTCTACTTAATACATAAGTACAAACACAGGGAAGCAGCCAAAATGAGGAAACAAAGAAACATGTCCCAAATGAAAGAACAGAACAAAACTCCAGGAAAAGAACTAAATGAAATGGAAATAAGCAATCTAACAGATTCAGAGTTCAAAACACTGCTTTTATGGATGCTCAGTGAACTTAATGAGGGCCTCAAGAGCATAAAAAGGACTAGTCAGAAATGAAGGAGGCACTAACTGAAATTTATAGAGAATCAATAGTAGAGTAGGTGAAGCCAAGAAGCAAACCATTGATTTGGCATATAAGGAAGCAAAAAACACTCAGTCAGAACAGCAAAAAGAAAAAGAATCCAAAAAAATGAGGATAGTGTAAGGAGCCTCTGGGACAACTTCAAGTGTACCAACATTCGCATCATGGTGCTAGAAGGAGAAGTGAGAGAGCAAGAAGTTGAAAACCTATTTGAAAAAATAATGACAGAAAACTCCCTAACTTGGTGAAGGAAACAGACATACAAGTCCAGGAAGCACAGAAAGTCCCAAACAAGATTAACCCCAAGAGGCCCACACCAAGACACATCATAATCAAAATGCAAAAGGTTGAAGATACAGAATCTTTTTCTTTAAAAAAATTTTTTTTTTCTTCATTGATTTTAGAGAGAGGGGAAGGGAGAGGGAAAAAGCAAAGAGAGAATCTTAAAAGCAGCAAGAGAAAAGCAGTTAACTAACTACATGGGAGTTCCAATATGACTGTCAGCTGATTTCTCAGAAGAAACTTTGTAGGCCAGAAGGACCAAAGTGATGAAGAGTAACGACCTACAACCAAAGATTACTCTTAATCCTGCAAAGCTATCATTTAGAATTGATGGACATATAAAGAGTCCATCAAGAAAAAGCTAAAGGAGTTCACCACCAAAACAGTATTATATGGCCCTGGCCAGTTTGGCTCAGCGGTGAGAGCGTCAGCCTGTGGTCCAGAGAGACCCGGGTTCGGTTTCCCCTAAGGGCATGTACCTCGGTTGCAGTTTGTACCCGGCCCTGGTTGGTCGTGTGGGTGGCAGCCACTCGATGTGTCCCTTTCACGTCGATGTTTCTCTCTCTCTCTCTCCCTCTCCCTCTTTCCCACTCTATCTGAACAAAAAATGGAAAAATGTCCTCAGGTGAGGATAAAAAAAACCAAACAGTATTATATGAAATGTTGAAGGGTCTTCTTGAAGAAAAAAGATAAAAAATATGAACAATAAAATGGCAATGAATACATATCTATTGACAATTGAATCTACAAACGAAATGAACAAGCAGAACAGAAACAGACTCATAGATACAGAGAACATTTTGTTGGTTGCCAGATGGGTGGAGGTTTGGGGGAATGGGTGAAAAAGGTGAAGGGGTTAAGAAGTACAGAGTGGTTGTTGTACTGACCTCAAAAGGAAGGGGTGAGCGGGTGGGAAGAAATAAACCAAAGAACTTATATGCATATATGTATAACCATTGGACACAGACAATAGTGTAAGGAAAAGCAGGAGGTCAGTAGAGGAAAAAGGAAGAACATCTGTAATATATTCAACAGTAAAGATAAGTTTTAAAAAAGAGACTGTAATAAGTTTTAAAAAAGAAACTGCCCTTCCATGGAGTGCAGTTTGTACTAGTACCAAGGACCCATGGGAAGCTGGGTGGGATATATTGTGGCTTCTGCTTTTTTGCCAAAGATTATTTCCTTTAGGACACCAGAGTGAGTTCAGAGGAGTTAAAGAGATCTGTGTTTTCTGCTTCTGTTGGATACATGTATAGGATTTGTATGGAATCATTACAGTGTGGCAGGGAAGGCACTGTGTAGATAGAGATATATTTCTGCAGAATTTTTTTTAACTTTCCTGGTTCTTAGAGAGATGCTTATGTTACCTTAAGGTGTTTCCTCCCCTTTAATTGCAATAAGTTAAGTAATGAGGAGGAAATTGGGAGTCTTACTGAGGGGTGGGCCAGAATAGGGAGACTCAAAAAAAGGAGAAAAATTTAGGAAAGTTGGCAGTATGAAAGATTGTTCTCTCAGTACTTCCCCCAGACCCCCTTCCCCCACCGCCCCAGCCTTTTATTCTCACGCATCCCCAACATACACACCATGTCTCTTGTCTCTGAAGGTGCTCTTGATGATTTCGATAAGGCCAGACCCTCCCCAGCACCTCCTCCTACCACCACCGCCCCTGATGCTTCAGGGCCCCAGAAGAGATCGCCAGGAGACACTGCCAAAGTATAAATTTCACCCTGGGACGGGGAGGGGATGGCATGCAGCTCTGAGCAGAGGTGGGGCCAGGCCCCTGTGGGCCAGAGGGGAGTGGGAAGAGGGTGCCTTGACCTCACATTACTGTGTTCTTACAAGCCTCAGTCCTTATGATACAGGGACTTGAAGTAGAGTGGATCTACTTGAGAAAAGAGCAAGTTTAAATGATTGGTTTGGGAATGCCACTCTATATCTTTTCCCTCAGTGGCCAGATACCTTTCTTGCTGTCCTCATTAAGAGAGGTGGTTAGAATGTCCAATAGAAGTGGTTGGAGGGAGGCACTGTATTTCCCAGAGCCTCTGCCTGTGGCTTTTGTCAGAGGCCAGGTGCAGGGTGGTGCCAAGAGATGCCTGTTGGCCACTTCTCACCTGCAGGATGCCCTCTTTGCCTCCCAAGAGAAGTTTTTCCAGGAGCTATTCGACAGTGAGCTGGCTTCCCAAGCCACTGCAGAGTTCGAGAAGGCAATGAAGGAGTTGGCTGAGGAAGAGCCCCACCTGGTGGAGCAGTTCCAAAAGCTCTCAGAGGCTGCTGGAAGAGTGGGTGAGAGGGGCCCAGACAACTGGAAATATCTGAACAAACCTCTTAAGTCATTGTTGCTTGAGACCACCAAAATTCTTAGTAAAGTTGATAGCAATCATGGTACCACTGCCATGGGGTGGAGAAGGATTTGGGAGGAGGGATGGAACCCTGCTGATGAAAGGGGTGCAATAGGTGGAATAAAATAGGAAGTATTAATGAAAACTGATCGTTTCAAAGGTTGTAGTGTTATTGTGGGTGTCATCATGGAGCACAAACTAACACACAGTTCATGTAGATTTGTGAAAATAACTATGAAGATATCCATAGAACATTAAAAAATTTGGAGTGCTAGTGACTCAGTAGTAAATGCTCCATATCCAAACTGGTGACCAGGTCACTCTAGGGAAGCAAGCAGTTGAAATCATAAATGACCTTGGCTCTTTCGATCTCTCCTAGGTAGTGATGCAACTTCCCAACAAGAATTCACTTCTTGCCTAAAGGAGACACTAAGTGGACTAGCCAAAAATGCCACTGATCTGCAGGTGAGGGGGAGGGGTTAGGGAACCACAAGGTGCCCACTCTCAGACACTTCACCAGCAGAGTCTCAAAGATAGACTCTTGGGTATCATTTCAAGTCTGTTTTTGCCTCACTGTTTTGCTACAGGCAAGTTTAAATAGTTCTTTCCCACCTGAAAGGGTAGTAAGTGTCCCAAGAAGGTAATGGACTTGCTCAGCTCTCTTCTGTCCTTTGTAGAACTCAGGCATGTCAGAAGAGGAGCTGACCAAGGCCATGGAAGGGCTGGGCATGGATGAAGGGGATGGTGAAGGAAACATCCTCCCCATCATGCAAAGTATCATGCAGAACCTACTGTCCAAGGATGTGCTGTACCCATCACTGAAGGAGATCACAGAAAAGGTTTGAGATTCTATTTCTGCTTTTCCTCCTCGTTCTCTGTTGTATCAACTCCTGTGGGCTACTTTGTCTGCTTAGAGCCTGCAAAGATAGAGAAACTCGAGTATACAAGTCCATCTGTTTCTTTCTTCTATTTTTTTTTATTTGGGTTGGGGAGAGTTGGAGAGGAGCTGTGTCTCTAAGAATAAAGCTCTACCCACACAGGATATTTAAAGTAGAAGGGGAAATCCTTCAGCTCTAGTTTGCTGTAAACTGGTTTCATATTATTTAGTAGTTGTCTGATCGACCCTTTCTTGCATTTCTTTGTTCATTTCTCCAACAAGGTTTCACTAAGGATTTATTAGCTTTTTGCTATGAATAATTTAAAAGTAATTTAAATGGTGATTCCTGCAGTGAAAGAGTTTATAATTTTATTAAAGAGATAAAATACAGGAATAGAAGTTTTTCAGTTATATAGGGCAACATATGATCAAGTGTGAATGAATGGTGTAGACCAGCAGTCAGCAGACCAGGGTCTGGGTAGACCAAATCGAACTCTTACTTTTTTTTTTTTTAAATCTATCCTCTCTCGAGGACATTTTTGCATTTATCTTCAGATAGAGGGGGAGGTAGAGAGAGAGAGACATTGATATGAGACACGGTGACTGGCTGCCACCCACACAACCCCAACCGGGGCCAGAGACAAACTGCAATCTAGGTACGTGCCCTTAGCGGGAACCGAACCCGAGACTCTCTGGTCCGCAGGCCGACGCTCTAACTGCTGAGCCAAACTGGCCAGGGCCAACTCTTACATTTTTAAAAGTTGCAAAATCAAAACAAAATATGTGACAGCGACCATATATGGCCCTTAAAGCCTAAAATATTTACTGTCTGGCCCTTCGTGGGAAAAGTTTGCCCTCATCTGGTGACAAATGCTAGCTCAGCCAGGTGATTGGTTGGAGTCAGTGCTACTTCTCATGCTGAACTAGCTTATTTAGCTTTTCTTTTTCTTGTGTTCACCTCTCCTTGGTACTTTATTGTGCTTCATATTTTATTGCCTTTCTTGCCCATTGTTCGCTTAATTCTTCCCCACACACGTTCTCTTTCTTTAGTATCCAGAATGGTTGCAGAGTCACCGGGAATCTCTGCCTCCAGAACAGTTTGAAAAATATCAGGAACAACACACTGTTATGGGCAAGATATGTGAGCAGTTTGAGGCTGAGACCCCCACAGACAGTGAGGCTACTCAGAAGGCTCGCTTTGAGACAGTGCTGGATCTTATGCAGCAGGTGAGGCCTCCTTCTGCTATCTGCCTGCTTGTGCTGTCAGGTTGGCTGTTTGGTGGAGGATACATCTGGGAAGGAGGCCACACTGCCAAAACCAGATGGAAGAGGGAGCACAAGAGAGGCCATATAGCATGGTCCTCAGGAGAAAGCAGAGAGACCATAGCTCAGATTCTTCTTTTTAGGTGCTGTATTGTCTTTTGGGTTTGTCTCTGTCTCATGTTCCTCTTTTCTTATTTTCCAGCTACAGGATTTGGGCCATCCTCCAAAAGAGCTGGCTGGGGAGATGGTGAGTACATCTTCTCCTAGATTTTAATCTGAACCCAGGTTTCCAGAATTCTTTAACCTTTAGTAATTCCACCTCAGGTGATAATTGTGGCTACTGGGGATGGACCTTCAGATGCTCTGACCTGAAATGTGAGCAGTTATCTGAGTTCCTTCATCTCTCTCCAGCCTCCTGGCCTCAACTTTGACCTGGATGCCCTCAATCTGTCGGGCCCACCAGGTGCCAATGGCGAACAGTGTCTGATCATGTGAAACACAACATGTTTCCTCCCTGATTTCCAGCCATGGGGAACGTCTGGAGTCAGCAGAACCACTGGGAGCTGAGGCAGCAGGAGTGTTGTCTGCAGGAGTGGTCTGCCTGCTGCCCTCTGTCATCCCACCCAGGATGATGCCATACCAACTGAGGCTTTTTCCCTGTCTTTGTAGGAATAAGACCTGTTCTGCAGGCTGTTTCTGTGAGCCCTTTCAATTGTGGTTTCTGCTGCTAGCAAAGGCCCAGCTGCCTACCAGGTGAAGGAAGGCATCCCTTCTAGGGTATGCATCTTCTTCCCTCTCCCAAAATGTTATATTTGGCCACACTGATGTTCACCTTTGTATCCAGGGTCTTCGTGCCTTGTCTCCACTCCCCTTTCTTGGACCTGGGGAGCAGGGACAGAGTCTTGGTACTCTGTATTTCTATGGTTCTCTTGGGCAGGGCCTTTGGAAATGATTGGGGAGAAACATAGCCTGGGCTGGAGCCATAGGTCTGTCACCATGACATCTTGCCTTCAGACAGACCTTTCTGAATTCTCTGAAGGGAAAGGAAGTAGAGGTTTTTGCAAGTAACCACAGTAGGGTTGAAAAAGAAGCCTTGGGATTCTCCTCTCTCCAGGTGCTGAGTCCTCTCCTCCCTGTTTCAGCCTGAGAACTCAAGTTGCTGCCCTGTTTCTTCATAGTGCTATGTGATCTGGGTGAACCCAGCCCTAGACCTCCCTTTGTCTCTCCTTAATATCTCCCCTCTTTCAAAAATACCTGTTCATTTCAACCCTTCTCTGGGCCCAAACTGACAAAGAAGGGCCCATCCTGTTTCCCCACATCTAGTCCATCTGTGATTCTCACTGGCCCCCTCTTCCCCAGGCAGCACATGTAATTATGTCAGGTCTAGGACATGAATGACTGTTCTTCCCCAGATACATTTGGCTTATTTGAAACAGCTTTGAATCCTGTCCCTTGATACAGGGAGGTGGTTTGGGAAAGGGTGGGGTGCAGCCTGGGTCCTTTTTCCAGACTAATAAATATTGTAAGTGAGGAGTGTGGCCTTTTTTCATCCAAGTCTTTTTCTGATCTTCCTCAGCTTCTGTAAGCTGCAGTGTGAGTAATGTTAGCAGACTAGTTCTGCATAACATTGTAATGCTGGGTTCTACCACCACCACCCTTCCCCAGCTCAATCTGGCAAAGGAGATTGCATGACCTTTCCTTGTTTCCTCTGAGTATTTCAATCTGGGAAGCCCTTTTATTTGTATTTATTTTAACATTTCAGATTATTTTTATTAATGTTAGTAATATATTGTTAACATGTTTTCTAAATTATTTTTCTTTGAGCTGACCTTGCCCTTCTCTGGGGGGAGGTATGGACCTTGGCTGCCATATATTGATGAACACTGCTCAGACCAGCTGGCTGTCCTGGTTCATTCAGCACTCAGAAAATAACTACCAAAGCAAATTCACACTCATCGTTTGAGTCACTTTGAACTCTTAACATGTCACTTTCTCCTGGGGTAAGCCTTTTCAACCCATAAGCTCTCACATGTTCTCTGGTATTGCTAAGGAAGGACAGGCTTTTGGGGAAAGTCTAGCTACTATTCCTTATATCAGAGTGTTGGAAGAGCCCAGGTCTGAATCTGAGATTCCTCTACTCTGCAAGAGAAAGGGAAAGTATAGACAGACTTGTGATGATGGTCACGAACCTAAATGGCCCAAATTTTCAGAGCTCCAGCAAAAAACTGGATGAGGATAAAGAAGAGGGAGGGAAGACCAAAGGGCCCTGCCTCTTGAACTGTGTGCCTGCTGTACTGCCAATTTTCTTTTACAAATTCTTACTTTTTGCTGGATTGGCCAGGGCTTACTCCAGGAATCTAAACAGATAACTCCTTCTACTTTAGTTTTTTTCTCAAGTCATTTATTTTCATTTTTATTTCAATTTAACAAGAAGAAATTGACTCTGTTCTAAAAACACTACTTGAATTATTGTAAGACTTGTGCAAGGATGGGTGGAGCAGCCCTCAAACTGGTAAAGGACCAGATTTTTCATTTTATAAATAGCCAGTTCTTTGTACCACCAATGTGTTACTGTTACCCTGACAAGTGTGCAGTTCACACTCAATGCTTCCCACCACGAAAATTTGACAACACTCAAACTGATCAGACCACATTCATCAGGATAAGTCCACTGATCATACACTTGAATATCACAATGTCAAAAGGCTAAAAAATTTCTAAACACCCCAAAATCTAACTCATCATGTCACAGAATGGTATAAAAACAAAAAAGTTCACAGACCGGTATAAGTCTTCAAATCACCTTTGAGGAGCGCTGCTCTGGGGCCCTCCCCAGTTTCAGTAGCTCTGTAGGTCTCCAAGGTAAGGGTTGCCCCCACTAAACTTTTTTCTTCAGCAATAGTGTGTCACTGTAAAGGGTATCTCTAGTATTTTTCCAGCTGCCTTTTCTGTTACTTAAAAATAACCATTACAGCCCTGGACAGTTTGGCTCAGCTGTAGATCTTCGGCCCCAGACCAGTGAATCTCAGGTTTGGTTCCGGCCAAGGGCACGTACCTCAGTTGCAGTTAGTCCCCGGCCCTGGTTGGGGTCATGCGGGAGGCAACCAGTCGATGTGTCCCTCTCACTCATGGCCTATGTTTCTCCCTCTCTCTCTCTCCCTCTCCCTCCCACTCTATCTAAGGATGAACAAAAAAATATCCTCGGGTGAGGATTAAAAAAATAATAACCGCCCTGGCCGGTTTGGCTCAGCGGTTAGAGCGTCGGCCTGCGGTCCGGAGAGACCCGGGTTCGGTTCCCGCTAAGGGCATGTACCTCGGTTGCAGTTTGTCCCCGGCCCTGGTTGGTCGTGTGGGTGGCAGCCACTTCGATGTGTACACCCTTTCACGTCGATGTTTCTCTCTCTCTCTCTCTCTCTCTCCCCCTCCCTCCCACTCTATCTGTACAAAAAATGGAAAAATGTCCTCAGGTGAGGATGAAAAAACAAACAAACAAACAAAAAAATAATAATAACCGTTACAAAGCTTGGGTTTAAGCTATATGTGAAGTGTTTATGCTGCTCTCAATTTGAAAGGAGATGCCCCTTTGTTCCAAAATTCTATACGTTAGAAATTTGTGGTTGTTTGGTTTCAGAATTAAGAATCAAATTCATACAGAATTTGTTATAATAGGGACACTTTTCCTGTGACTCCGGAACATCCTGGCAAGTTCCTCATGAGGTGCTTATAACAAACTGTTGAGATGGCTTTTGGGAGCTTGGGAAAAGCAACGGCCCAATAGTCACATCTGAAGTTGAGGTGACAGACCATATGAGAAATGATCAAAGGATTTAGAGGAAGTGGGCATGCAGGAATGAGTGCCTATTACACTGGAAAACCTGACAGCTAACTGTAATTTTTATAAAGGAAAGGCACTAACAAAGTGGTAACCAGTATCTTGGAGAAGTTTAGAAGTGGCTGTCTCTGTTGGTGGAGGCTGGTGGAAGGGGGTGTTGTTTAAGATCTAGTTTCCTTCAAAGCAGTGGGGATGACAGGACTCTGGCGTAACAGATGCCAAATGGCAGCATTTAACTTTCAGAAGCAGGGTGTGTGAATTTCTATTAGAGCAGCATAGTCCATGCGTGGGTGGTTGTGCTGACCAGATAGATGGGTAGCGAAGGAGGATATTGATTTATATATGATTAAAAGAGACCAAGAATGGGTGAACAGAATGCTGAGGTCAGTAACTTCAATGAAAAGTCACAATTCCTTTCCTAGTTTCTAGATGGCATTTAACGACGTTGATAAGTTTTGTAACTTTAAGTGAAAGTATATGTATATGTATATTGAAACTGTATAATGAAACTAATTTTACCATAGGCTAATTAATACAAAATAGAGTTAAGTTCTTGTGGCATCTTGTCATTATAAGAAATTCCTTGGTGAGACACATACTCCAATAGGTGGGAGATAAGCCCTGCAAAAATGCAGGGCCCTGCCACATTAAGTTTTTGAGTTCAGCATTCTGAAACATCCTCTCCAAAGTAAAAGATAAATTACTGCATCTTGTGTCTTTTACCCCCAAAAAGAAGCACAGTGCCTATCTAGGCCTCTTCCTGTTCTGGAGGCAGCATGTTCTGTACTTGGAATGCAAGAAAGGCCTCTGCAGCAGGTCCAGGCTATAATAGCAGGACCATATGACCTGGAAATGTACTAGAGGTATCTGTGGAACGAAAAGATGCTGTGTGAATTCTCTGACTATCTGCAGCAGGAGAGCTCCAGTACAGACCTCTAGGGTTCTGGGGTAAGATGATGTAATCTGTAGGAAAGTTTCACCACTTAAAAAGTATCTCCTGGCATGCTGTTGGGTTCTGATAGAGACTCAATGCCTGACCATGAAATATCAAGTGACTGTGACCAGTTACCCATATAACCAACCAGCTGGTTCTTGTCAGGCCTGCCAAGCCATAAGATTAGGTGGATACAGTTGCAATCCATCTTAAAATGGAAATGATAAATTCAGGAAAAGAAGCCCAAGCAAACTTGGTGGGCACAAATAAGTTCAATTGAACAAGGCCCCAAACCTTCATATTACCGACTTCTGTTGCACTGATACCTTTCTCTTAGTTCATCATAGGGCAGCATAAGAATTCTTTGAGCATTTGACAAAGGAGGAAACATCCAGGTCTGGTTTGTGGATGGGTTGGCTTAATATGTTAGGGCAAACTAAATACGAACTACTGCTTCTCAACAGCCCTATCCAAAGTAATCCTGGAAGACAATGGTGAGGGGAGATTCTTACAATGAGTAGGGCTTTAGGCAGTGTACCTGATCATCACAATGTCTGGAGAGAAGTGGCCTGAGGCAAGGATATACATGCATGCATTGTCAGTGAGCTAGTTGGTCAGGGACTCAGATGGAGCAAGATAGGGAAATGGTGGAAAACAAGGTCTGGTGTGGAGCATTTGGGGTGATCTATGAGAGTGGGACCTGTTAAAGTACCAGAAAAGTGCTGAATAACCAAATGGATGGCATGATTTCAGGACCATCTTAGCTATCCCAGTTCTTGCATAGAGTTCTCACAAATAGAATCATCACAGAGGCAGAGGTGGAGGCTGTATGGTGGCCTATTAGCATGGACTCTCTCCTAAGGCTCACCTCAATAGTGCTGTTTCTAAATATCCAAACTGCTAGCAACAAAGAACAAACAGCCCTGGCCAGTTTGGCTCAGCAGTTGGAGCTTTGGCCCGCGGACCAAAGGGTCATGGGTTCAATACCAGTCAAGGGCACATACCTTGTTCAGTCCCTCTCACGTCAATCAATCTCTCTCTCTCTCTCTCTCTCTCTCTCTCCCCCTCCCTCCCTCCCTCCCTCTCCCCCCCCCCTCTCTCACTTTCTCTCACCCCCCCCTTCCCTTTCCCTTTTTCTCCCCCTCTCCCTCCCTCTCTCCCTTACACTCTATCTGAAGATAAATGGAAAAATATCCTCGGGTGAGGATGGGGTACTGTCCTTTGCAACACAATATAAACTTACGTGACCATAATAGGGTGATTTATCCCCAATAGGTAACTCTCATGGACTCCGGAATCAAGGAGTAGAAACAGGAGTGACCCTATTCAACGTTATTCCCAGTCACCCATTTGAGGATCTGTGTTTCCCATCCCAGCAACTTTAAATTCTGTGGGTCTAGAGGTCTTGGTTCCCAGAAGGGGGTGGCTTCTATCAGACACAATAGAAGAATCTCAAAGACAGGGCTGTCATCCAATCACTTTGGGCTCCTAATGCCAGAAAACTATCAGGCAAAGAAAGAGTTACTGTACTCTCTGGGATAAATGACCATTGTGAGGAGGTAGGACTGTGGCTACATTATGGATGCAAGAGGAAAGTGTTTGATGCACATGTGATCCCTAGGATATTTCTTGGCCGCCTTCAGTTTTACCTGTTAATTAGTAAGTGAATTATGACCTGATAAGGGCATGATCTCCAGGGGCTCAGAACCTCCTCTTCTAAGTGTCCCCAGAAGTTGTGACCAGAATGCTAGAGAAACTGCCTGAATAGAGTGAGTTTAATGTACAAAGCAAATGGATCTGAGTGATGCTAGAGGTTGACTATAGTAGACATTGTTGGTACCCTGTCTAGATCCCTTTTACCAGGAAGTAAGAATATTAGCTGCTAATAGCTCATAGCTGCATTGTCTTGAGAACTGCTATCTGTGCCAACAGGAGCCAATTCTGGAAGGTTCTGC